AAATTTGGTGATAATTGTAAGTAGAACATTCAGTTGAAATACTCACAGGTGCAGTGATGGTAGAACATAAAGGAAAAAACGAACATTAGAGATAAGAAAACTGACTATAAAACTATTGGAAATCAAGAGCCAAAAAAAAATAGTAGTGCTGCCACATGAAGGGCGCCATCTATTTATGTGCTGGTCATGTGCTGGTCTTGTGAAGGTCTTAAAGTGGTCTTGACTACAACACTGATGAAAACCTTCTTTTTGTGTGACCCACACACGCTTTTCAACCTACTCAGACTCTTCAGTGGGAGCTTAAACCAACCTCCTCATTTCACCAGACATTCTTCTAACCCAACTGTATTCCATGTGGATGCGCTTAAAGTTCTGCACTAAGACATGTGCCTCCTGCTTTGGAGGATGGCGTAAATAACACTACTCTGCACCAGCCCCCGCCTCTGAACTTGTTGGTGGCCAACCGCAACATTTCATAGAGTCATAATCAGCGGTAACTCTGAATGGATGGCTGTTGCTGCAATTTGTTACAACCACTGGCTCAAAGTCTCAGGCACACTTGGCCCTGTCCAACGCCAATCGTGAATGACAAGAACAATTGTCGAGCCTTAGAATAGGACATGCACTCCTTCCTACAGAATCAGTGTTATTTATAGTCCCTTTGGGCACTCAAGACATTGACTTTCAATCTACTTTCTCAGTCCTTGCGATTTTGAAAAATGAATCAAAACCTTGGGTCAATCAAGACATAGTAAAATAAAACATACATGTATAAACAATCAACAAAACCAACAAAAAAAAGGTGCATTAGTTTTAGATCCTACCCGCTCCAATACTTCAAGCAAACTTGAAGAGATCCAATACATGTAAAAAGATTCAAAGTTTTATGACAGTCACAAAATCATGCCCTTTCCTTAACCACTACCAGTCGGGGACTCCGGGATTGGAGCCGTATGGTTTATATGTGTGGCCGGGGTCTCTGAACTCGGACAAAGGAAACAGGGCCCTGTAACAAAAGACCGTACTCCGAACAAAAGACCAGGCTGCTGGGCATGACCGGCATTTTTTGCTCTCAAAAGTGGTGATAATCCAGCGTTATTTAGAAACCGTATACCAGGGTTTGGGGTATTTAGAGCAAGCGGATTACC